AAGAGTAACGTACTTGAAGTTATTATTTAATATATGGAAATGGAATTAAATGCTTAGTTAATGTGCTGGAAATTTACAAAAACATGTTTATAAATGCTAGGAAGCTTAAGGAATTTTATTTAAAGCTCTTGTGAGTATTCAATTCAAAGACAAGATAAATTCAGTCAAGTAAGGATTTCTAGGAGTTGTTAAGCTAGAAATGAGCTAATTAAAGGTGAGTTTATTTAACTTACTTGAAATTCAAGTAAGTTGACTGGAATTATGGCAATAATGAATCGCAGAATGCTAGGAAAAAATTTAGTTACAAAAAATGAAATAAATTAAGTACATTACCAATGATTATTCTTTGACTCAATGATAAACTATCTTTAAAGAACTAAACCTTGTGGACAGAGGTGTTATCATCCATGCTACTTAAGCCACGATATCAACAATTGTCACAGTGAGTGGATATTGCGTCCAAATGGTTTTGGGAAAGCATGAAATAAGGTTTTAAAAGTATGATGCTATGTAAATAATTTATTAGAACAATACATGGGAACAAGCTGTTCTGAATTGAATTATATGATGTTATGTGAACTCTAGGTTAAGGTGAAATGTTTATGTACATAAATATATGTTGGGACATGAATGGTTTATGAATTTATGTGCATTGAAGGGCATGGTAGCTGAGCAACATGTCATGTTGATATATGGTGATTTATGACTAAATGTTTAGTTATATAGGTATGATGTTATGCTTTGTGTGATGTGAATGATATGTTACTTTATTGTTATGCTTACTAATGCATTGCATGGGCTTGGTAGGGCCATAGTAAAGCATCAAAGAAAATGGTCAGAGTACCAATTAAAGTAAGGGTTTGAGGACCCTAAATGTGCATTTAACGTCGGTGGGGTTCACAAAACCACTGGAGATACATGCACGAAGATGAAAGTTAAGTATGTATTTTGTTTTGAAATTTGCAAATGATGTATGTAATGTTTATGTATGTTTAATGAGTAAGACCCAATTGTTTTAAGATTTATGTAATGTTTTTGCATGTTTGATGGGCAAGACCCAATTGCTTAAGGTTTATGTATTCAAGTAGAGGACCAAAAAAAAAAGGTAAATAGTAGTTAAGGCTATAAGTGCAAAAGATTGATATAAGCAAGGCTTGGACGGCCTTGAAATGGATACATGTGCATAAGATCCTACACATAAGACTGAGATATCGACATAAGATAGGTAAGATTTAAAATGCCTCCTAGGCTCATTTACTCTTTTGACAACTTATAGTTCACCATTTGAATTTGTGTGTAAGTTTCAAGCATTAGTAAGATGCCATTGCTTATGATTGACATCGATAGGTGAGTTTAGGTTAAATTGGTATATTTTTATGAGAAGAACCTAAATGCATCATAGATTTGTATAGGAAAATGTGTATAGTTTCAAGAAAATGAGCATGGTCTCCAAAGTTTCTAGAGTTGTTGCTTATGCCTATCACAACCCAAAACGAAGGCCATGACCGATGAAAAGGTATCGATGGGAGTTACCCTCTTAACCCACGTAAGCCTAAAACGAAAAATTCAAATCAAATACTCGGATTTACCTCATGGAACTCATCACCATGGAAGCGTACATCAAACATGCATGAACATATTAAATCGCATAGGATTATGCCATACTAGTTTGCACACTTATGTGCTCAAAGTGCGGAAGCAACACATATCAAATAACACATATAGGCCATCTTGTGGTAACTATAAAGTGTAGCCATTCCATGGCAATTTTTGAAGTACATGCCATTTAATACAAGACAACGCAAAATATTATCTAAGATAGTCAACATAAATGTCCAAATCAAATAGGACCAGTGGAGTACGACTTGCAACAAAAGGGCTGACTCCTATTAGATGCCATATGTTTAACTAGCCAAGACTAACTAAAGTATTGGCTTTTCCCAATGGACAGTGAGCCAGGTAATTATTGATCTACAAAGCATTTGTGTCTTGCATGTGTGAGTTATAAATAACTACATGAGTAAATACGGGGAAGGGGAACAAGCTAAAGGGAGAGTGTTTATCAAAGACACTTTTAAAAAGAACGCAAGTAATCCATTTCAAACAATATCAAAGTTTGCCTTTCAACCTTAAAAATGTGGAATGAATTTGGGAATTCAACCCTCGAACAATATCAAACATCTAAAGGTGCTAGTTATGCACCAAGTAGAATCACGTGTCAAAGCAAAACTTCATTACCATTGTCTTGACGGATACATACTCATTTAAAAAGGATTTTATAAGGTTTTGTTGAAATTCCATTTGTAAGCCTTTGAAATGAGAATAATGGTTTATAAAACATTCAAGTATTTTCAAGAAATTAATTTATAAATATCAGATTGTAAAGCTGTTGTAAAAGAAGTTAAGGAAAAACAAATGTATGGTTTCAAAGAAACCGAAATAATGTTATCTTTAAAAGATCCTTGAAGAAAAGAATGGATTTAAAACATAACATAATTGTATTACACTGAATAAATGAAGTCTAAATACCAAAATTGGGTTAAATATCCAATGCAAAGATCAAGGTGGATACAATTTACCAAATCTAAATATTGAACTCGAAACCAATAACAACTCAAGCACCATGGTTGATACAATAGCTAGATTCAAGGACCAAAGTCTAAACAAATACCAAAATCAACTATATCAATCCAAAGTCCAAAATTCAAAACAAATATCAAGTTCTAATTCCAAAGTGTCAAATATCATTACAAATAGATTATGGAGCACTAGATAGCATGGACAATCAAATCAAAGTGTACCATAGGACCAAAGTGGTCAAATACATGATAATCGTCGATTGTATATAAAATGAGGTAAGATCGCATTAACTGCCAAACGAAACCAAGTGAACGGGGTAGGACACTGTTAACTATCCAATCAAAGCTAAGCACTGTGCATAATGGCTAATGTCTATAGTCACTAGCTATAAGTCCATAACTCAAGTAGGCTCCACTAAAACATTTTTATGCTATGTTTCCAAATATCCATATATTCGTATCTAAATGAAAAGGTGAATTCATTTACCATCCAAGACCAACGGGTTCAAAACAAAATGAAGTCAAAGTGTTCAAGGTCTATTTCTAAGCAAGGATGAATTCACTCATTTACACAATAGAAGTTCGAAGTGAAGACTAATTCAAAATCATCAATCTCAAAGATAAGTACACCTAATGCTAGGGCCTATGCAAAATTAATTATTTTTCAATCCAAATTTTCAAGTCATCAATCAAGCAATTATCAATTTGAGGCATCAAATAATTGAAAGGCTTGTTCTCCATGCTCAAAACTAAATACATAGTAACATATTTACATAGTATACATAGATTTTATAAAGCAAGATTGAAACCATTGTTCATATCACAAAGTTCATCAAATACGTTTTAATGTGAGGTTGTGGAATAGGCATGCTTAATTATACTAAAATAAGTAAAAACGTTGTAACACCCCATATTTTGATATGGCGGCTAATAGAGCTTATTGGATACCAATGGAGGTTAATTAAAGTATTTAAGATTGTTGAAAGGTGAAAGGAAAATTTTAGAATAAAATATTTTTTATGCGATAAAATAATAATATCTTATTGAGGTCGAAGTTGTGAAGTTAAAAAGATGCTATAAAGCTAAACCGAGGCAAAGTATAGCATTTTGAAGCTCTAGAAGGCTAGAGGAAAATTTTGAAATAAAATAATAACTTTTGGATAAAATAATATTAAAATGTTACTGATGTTAAATTGGATATATTACATGACAAAAGTGTGATTTGTACAATTTGTCTAAATGAGGGAGTGGAAGTAAGAAATATTTTGAGGAATGGAAGCTTTAGTGGGGCCCATGTGCCTTCATTAAATTTAGGGAGAGTAAGTATATCTTTAAATATTATGGTGACACCTTGGTAGAGTATGAATTTGACATTTTATTTGTACAAGTGTAAAGAAAGAAAAATAGAAGGGAATTGAAATAAAGGAATGATGGAAGGACCCGACTAAAAAGAATAAGAACTTGAGGGGTGGAATTGTAAATAATGAAAAGTTAAGAGAATATTTGATGTATATATTGGTATTAAGGAAAGTAAGATGAAATTCAAGTAGAATGCATGCGAAGTGCAAATGAAATTACTTAGCTTGATGGAATTTGCAAGTGAAGTTACTATTACATGCAAATTATTGCATGCAAAAAAGAGAAAGTTAGTGGAAAACATGTGAGACCCCACCATGTGAAAGTTGATAAAGAGAAAAAGAACAAAGAGTATTTCAGTGAAAGAAAACCATGCCTTGGCAAAGATAGCCCATGGCAATCAAAGTAACGATGGTAATGTGATTTGAAAAGAAAAAGGGATAATCATAGCATGAAATATCATTGGGTGATAAGGTGGCATTAAAAGGAAATGAAAATGAAATGCATAGAAATACATGTGAAATGAAATGCAAATGAAATAAACAAAACAGAATACAATGTGAACCAATGCATGGGCAAGGCAATCTAACCAAAGGACAAAGGAATGGATAAGGAAACATTGCATGCACAAGCCACCAATGGGAA